GAGACCATATCATCAATACATGAACACATTGTAACTCATATACTGTATAGATAGTAGTTTGTAGTAAGAAATGTCATAAGATAGTTTAGTTTTGTAGTATTGTTGTATTACTGCCACACATTGTACCATGTACGATTGTCGAGCAATAAAGTTCATTAATTCATTCAACATTACGTAGGCAAAGGTAATAGGCACTGCAGTTTATCCAAATACTGATAGAGGGCATACTAGTATATGAATCCTTTACTACTAGTATTTATGAAGTTTTACCATATGCTATATATGGGTGCGTTGGAGTAGTCTACAGAGAGAAGATATTTCTTCTACCGAAACGGTCGAAGACACCTATTACATGTATATCCATTTTGTCTAAGTAAAATTGATGACAACGGCAAAAAAACACTGCAGTACACAAATTACTATATACTGTTTTAAAATGAGAGGCATTAGTAGTAGAACACATTCAAAAATCTATGACAATTTCTGTTTTCTGCTTTCGGGTTTGCAATATTATAAACATAGCCACATCCTGTATGTTTTATATTGTTGTTTCATCTCCTTAATAGTTTTGTACATCGGAGAATTATACGCATACTCGCATATTCAACAGTGCGCCAAAAAAGCAGCATCGTACTATCTGCAGTTCGCAAGCAAATCAACAGGAAGCGCTGCAGCTCCATACAACTCGTTCAAAAATCATGGAGCGATAAAACATGCGAAAAATAATTTAAGGTCTCATTCATGTATTAAAAGAGTACCAAGTCAAAAACTAAACGGATGTATGAACGCGTGTTCTTATTGGTAAAAATTTTCCCTTTAGCCATCCCAACTGATGTAAAACGTCAAAGCGGTGAAAGCTTATTTGTAACTGATGAAATTAGGACGTAATTGTCGGCAGCCGCGCGTTGAGTTGTGCGGTCGTAGGTTTCCAGCGCGGGAGGGCCTCTTGCGGGCAGCCGCTAAGTGCGGTTTGTAATTCCCATAAAAGTAGCCTGGGTTCCAAACCCAACCACAGTGTGATTGGGTTTGGAACCCAGGCTACCATAAAAAGGGATTGTGTGTTTAGAAGTCGTTGGCAATTTTTTTATGAGATGTAGAGTAAGTGTGCTTAACATAGCATGAAAGATATCAATTGATTTAATGTAGGATCATAGGGAACACGGTCTCGTAAGTCACTCATCGTAATGCGTGGTTTCTAATGTATCGAAAAAACTCATGAATGAGACCTTATTGTTTGTGTGAGTACAGCATAACTATTCGATCACCCTCAGTACAAAATGGGATCGCCCGATGACCTTCAGAATATCCATAGGTCAAGGTTTCTTGCAGTGCTTGTGGGCAGGGTCCACCATATCCAGCCAGCATATCTTTCTGTACAAAAACAGACATATTCAAGGCTTCAAACTACACTTACCATGAATTTCAATCTCCGAAAGCTCCCATACATTGGATAGCTAAATATGACTACTCGCCGTTTGTGGAAAAAACAACGCTTCGGCTATCAGCTGGTGAATGAAAACAAGCACTGACCTTGAACCTCCAGCTTGGACTCGTCTGCTTCAGGGGGTGTGACATGGCCCGATAAGATGTAATATAACATCACTAAACAACACTGAGGTCACAAGTTCTGTCTAGATTTGAAAAGTAAACACACCTCTTGTCTACAGTACAGAAAACTGGCAAAATCTGTCCAGAATTGGCCTCAGGAAAAATTCTACAAATGGCCTTCAGAGATTCATAGGTCAAGGTTTGTTGACGCAAGGAGGTTAAATACATATTTTAAACCTCACTGGTTGACGCTGTGCTTGTGGGGACTGCTTTCTCAAGTTGTGCTTTACTTTCTGTAAGTACTCACGTTACATGTTTATTTTCCCCTTAACTGGTAAAACTATTAACTGTAAACTATCTTGGCAACACCATGTAAAATCCAATGTGTCAAAAAGGTCTACATTAGACTACATTATCTCCATCTACTGACTAACACTATAGGCGATGGGCGTTGATGACCTTGTTTAGATCTAACATTACAAGAAACTAATCCGACCCGCCCTCGCACGGACACGTCCTGTTAGTAGGCTGCAGTATCCGTCAATAGCATCTAAATGTCAATTTTCATGTTGACATCATTTCACTCGCACCCGATGATGCAGAATATGTTGTGTTCTATTTCCAGGTCTCGAAATTCATTTTTGGGAATAGGTGCACTGGTGCACCCAACCTAAAACATTAGGTGCACAAATTTTTGGGGGGTGCACCATATGCAATAAAACCTAATTACGGATCTTACTGCTCCTCTTCTAGCTTGACTCTAAAATGGGAGCTAACTCTGAAACAAGTACTACCACAAAGATTTTATTTTTTTTTCTGTTACCAAGACCAAGAATATCCCGTTTACTATTATCAATTTCAAACGTTGAAAATTCTTCCAAAAAAATTGGGTGCACCGGTGCACCCACACAAAAAAACTTGATGTACAGCTCCAATTCTGGGTGCACTAAGGTGCACATGCACCCAGTATTTCGAGCCCTGATTTCAATCCCTGAGGCCACATTCTATGCAGTGCACTATTAAGAACGCCCTGCCAAGACCAAAATGGTTCAGAAGTGACGATATAAAGTTACTAGTACATATGTGTAAAGACAATATACTAGAGAAAAGCAGTGTCGTGGAAATCACAGGCATTATATTTATTTTTCTTGATGAAACACGATTTCTTTTGTAAAAATGCAGAGTTTGTGATTTTCTGGAGTACATTGTATGTGTGGGGAGTAAGGATCAAAGTACGTTATTTGTACCGACAGCTAATAAAGCGGCAGTCGGACAAGGGTCAGGGCGAAACCCACACCGCCTGATGTAACGACAGTGAACCTTAACCCGACATAACCGTCACTTTTCAACACTCCTCTGTCTGTTAGGAGCTAACTGTGATATGCAAACTATTTTATTTGCTTTACAACCATGATAGGTTGATGTCATATTTAGTGACTGTACCTATGTAAAAGTGAAAGCGTCCCGGATGCCCTGGACGCCGTCCCTGGACATCAGAGCCCGTCCTTACCCATCCCAGTCCGTCCCCCGTCCCAACATAAGGCCATGTTGATTTGATTATATGGATGACATCCTCCGGAAGCCCCAAAACTGATGCGCGCGTGCGAATTAAAAAAAAAGTTTTGCCAAAAAAAAAAGTTCTTTTCATTATGAAATCTACGTGGTCATGAGGGTCGAGCATATGGCACAAAATATGGTTTGGCGAATAATCTAGTCTTCAAATTCATTTCTGTACAATTTCGTCTTTTTTCGTTTGATTTTGGCATTCTACGACATTGGTATAGTTTTTATTAATTTTTTTTTCTAACTTATGGTATATTTTTTGCTCATTTTGCAACTGTTTTGTACGATTTACAGTATGGTTGAAAACTTTTTTTTTGAAACGGCCGAAAATTCATGCGCGCGCGGGTGTCATCCATATAATTAAATCAACATGGCCTAAGTTTGGGCCGTCTACAAATTGGCGCTCTGGGCGGCTGGGCCCCATCCCAGAAACCAGGGACGCCTGCCCGTCCCTCCCAACCCGTCCCTGGCCCGTCCGGCGTAGGCTCGAACGCCTTACAGGTAGCCGCAGACTTGTTGGGTGGCGGCGTTATTTTCTTTCGACGCGAGTTATGCCGCAGGACGATATTGCCGCCGAGGGAGTTTTGCCGCGGAGAGAAGGTTTCGCGCCCTAACAAACCTTCTCTCCGCGGCATAACGCGCGTCCCTCACCGAAAAAAGATAACACCGCCATCCCACAAGTCTGCGAAGGAGGCTAAGTACACACTAGGTACCTTACACATACGTGGAGGAAGAGGGAGGGGTGGCAAATTCTGTAGCTTGCAGTTCAATTTGTCACGAGAAAAATTAATCGAAACTAGAGAGGCCGACATTTGCTTGGGAGCAAATACAGCATATTTCAGTCCATCTCCCTCCCACGCAAAAGTGGACTATTCCAAACTTACCCTAGTGTAAAACTGGCAAAGATTCTCAAATAAATGAATTATATAGTAGCTATGTGATTGAGAACAAAGATGCAAGAACAAGCACATTGAATCTCGAAAGCTTTACTAATCTTATTACAGGTATGCAAATACTAACAAGGATTAGATTTGATACATTTTGAAGGTCTTAGGCACATAAAATTGAATGTGTGGGTCATTAGGCACGACTTACGTGCAATGTGACCTCAGGTAACCCGCAATGGAACACGTGTTCCATGGCCAAGGGCAGATGGAACGGGCTGTTCTTTAGATAGAACATGGAACGGGTATGAGCACTTTTGGCCCTTTTTTTGCTGAAAATAGCCATTAAAGTCCCCCAAATGAGTCATTTGGAAGTGGTGTATGCCAAATATGTGACTGCTATTCTGTAGACACATATTCAAGGTACCCTTATACCGAATTTCAGATTATTTGGTTGTAAAACCAGGGCTCAGGATCCAAAAATCCATTTTTTGGCGAAAAATGCCCCAAAAACCTTCTTAAAATTTTTCAAAGGCATGTATCAAAAAAATGAAAAAAACGCCTGGGGGTAATTGGCCCACTCTACCTCCATGAC